GTTACATCATTGCCTTTTCTCTTTTACTTTGCTTTTTAGTTTTATTTTAGGATTTCCTATTTTTAATGTTCATACAGAGATTTCTTTAACTGAAATACCGAATAGTTTCTTTGGTGTGAAAAACTATAATAGTACACAGGATCCTAATGAGATAATTAATAATGTGAAATAGGAAGTAAAGGGCTAAAGGTGTAAGGAAAGTGGTAAGGGTGGGGGAAAGGTAATAAGGGAGAGGAAAAAAATATGAGAAACTGAAAAAAATGGAAATAAAGTGTTTGTAAATGGGGAGGGGAGGAGAGGGTGAAGGGAGGGCAGGGACAAGGGGAAAAATGAGAATCAAGACCTATTATGTAAAGGTACAGAATCCCAATGATGAATGTAATTGTATTGTATACCTATATTGTACCAATAACCTCAATAAAAAGAAAAAAAAATTAAAAAAAAAAAACAAAAAACAACAACAACAAAAAAACATTCAATTAGCCTCACTATCACTGTGATGCCAGGCCTGCCTGTGGGACATTGGGACAGATCACAATAAACCACTGTACGTTTCCATGAGTCCTAATAACAAACAGCAAAAGGCACTCTCCCTAAGAAATACTGGCCCATTGGCAGGGGTGGCCAGAAAGGAGGAAGCAAGGACTTATCTACCTTAGTAGAACATGAATATCTCTTCCTAATATCTGAAGCCTAATGATATTCTATTTTATAAACTTGGTCTTATGTCAAATGTACCTGTTTTTGTTAAGAGTTTCATTCAGCACAAGATCTTCATAGCGCTGCCGGGCAAAGTTGCCTCCAAAACCCAGAAAGGTTGTGACATAAACCCTATACACATGTTCAGTGTGTTGTACATCACAGCCCAGGTTGAACTCAGCCAGTAAGATCTTGGCAGCTTCTTCCTGATGTTAGAAGACAAAAGAGAATTTTAGTTTGAGTTGATTTCTAGAAAGCTATGACACTGCTAATATGCCAGGCCTCATTTTCTACAATTGGTGGTACGTGCCTGTAATCCCAGCACTCGGGAAGGCTGAGGCAGGAGGACTACCATGAATTCAAGGCCAGCCTGGGCTACATAGTAAGTACAAGGCCAGCCTGAATTACGTAGTGAGAACCTGCCTTAAAAAAAAAAAAATTTTTACTGTATCCTTTCATTACTTTTACTGTATCCTTACCATTACTTTTGACAAAGAGAGAAAATGACAAGACTGCACCAAAATATACAAATTAAAGGCTATCCTGGAAGACTAAAAACCAAATTATAGACTCAAACACTATCTTTGGTTGTAAGAGTAGAATTATTATAGTTGATATCATTTTCTCTGAACTTTCCAACTCTCCACAATAGGAATTGTGCTTTTTTCTTTTTTGGTTCCAGGAACTGAACTTGGGACCTTGTGCTTGCCAGGCCAGTGGGACACCACTGACCTACATCCCTGGCCCTGGAATGTGCTGTTTTCATAATTAAGGAAAAGATCTTTTAATAAGAAAGGAATTTGGGGGATTATCATGAGATCCACTCCATAACATTCTGTAAACCTTAAGAATTCCTAGTATTTCTTGTGACAGATTTGAGCAATGGGAAAGTTCAATTTTATTTTAACTCCAATGAAAAAGCACTTTTTTTCCCTTTTCTATTATTGGATTTCTAGTGTTGAGGGCAAATAAATCATATTCCTTAGCTCACAGCACACTGTTATGGCAAAGTCCTCCTTTTATTTATTCCCATCTCATTCTCATAGCCACATCCATACCTAGTCCCTGCCTTAGACAACCACTGTCATGTGTTTAATCAGTAATTTTACGTGTGTCATTGTAAGATGGAAATTACTGCTTTACATTTAATTTATGTAAATGCTATTAAACCCAGTAACTCTACTTCTAGGTATACACCCAAGATATGTGAAAACTTAGGTCAACACAAAAATGTGAATGCTGAAGTTCACGGCAGTGTTATTCATAATAGCCAAAATGCAGAGGTGATTCAGATGGCCATCAAATGATGAACAGATAAATGAAACAGGGCATGGTCACCCAATAGAATGCTATTCATCCATAAAAAGCAATCAAGGACTGATACATGCTACAATTAGAAACAATCTACCTTAGAAACACCTTGCTAAGAAGAAGATACAAATGTGAAAAACTCAGAACAGGTAGATCCCTGAGCCACAGAAAGCAGATTTGTGGTTGTCAGGCAGGGGTGAGGAGAGAATAGGAATTAACTGCTTAGGAATATGGGGTTTCTTTATGAGATGATGAAACTGTTCTGGAATTCAAAGGTGATGGTGTCACAACTTTGAGAATGGTACAAAAATTACAGTAAGCATTTGGACATTATTTAAGTTTTTAAAATGCTTTATATGTCTCACTCTTTCCTTTTTCACTAAGCATAAGATCCACCTATAAGAGTCACACTGCTATTTATATATCTAATTTCTTGCTTACAAGTATACTTTCTGTAACAGTGCTGCTTTCTAAATCTGCACATACAAAAAAGTCATTCAAGAATTTACACCCCAATGCCACTTGTCCCCTATTCCTTAAAATCAGAACTATATCTTTATTCATCTACTGAATACATACTAACAAGTAGAGACTAAAAAGTCTCATGACCAAGGTTGTTCCCAAAATCTTCAACCCTATCATGGAGATCTCTGATGGCCAAAATCATATTTCCAACAGTTCCGTGGAAATTCTTATATATACATTCTTTGGCTATCTCACATTCAACATACCCCAAATTGAACTCATTGGTTTTAAGAATTAAGAGCTAGGAGACCAAATAGATGCTCTCACTTAAACCTCTAAGGACCTTATTGTTTGCTTAGCATCAACTCTGCCCTTTCTCCTGTGTCTTCTCAGCAACTGAATTCCTTACTGTCCTAGTTCTCCTTCATGGACCCTTAGCATCACTGGCCATCCCTTCTGCCATACTCATACTACCACAACCTGTCCCCAGTTACAATTACAATTACTCCAAAACATTTCTTGAAATCTGTCCCCTCTTCTCCATTTCCACTTACATGGTCTAGTTTAATTCCTTAACACTTCTCACTCAAGACACCCTGATCTACCTTTCTTTCTCCTACTTACACCAAAATTATTTTCCTAAAAAGCATCAGAACACAGCCAACATAGTCACAAAACTCAGAGATGGGGAGGACCTTCAAAGTTTGTTTTATGATGGAATTGAAGCATGTGACTGCCCTACTCAAAACCTTTGCTGGTTCCCCACCATCTACAGAAATAAAAAAACAAACCTCCACAGGATGACACCCAAGACTCCTAATAAATTTATCTCTACTTATGTTCCCATTACCCCACCTAAAAACCCTGTACTGCAACAGGCTTTGCATTCTAGGTTCTTTGCTGCTTCCTCCAGACCTTTGTGCACACTGCTCGATCCATGGAGATAATCTTCTCTCACTATGCAGAAGCCTGCTATCATCTAAGCCCAGGTAAATACTTCTTTCATGAAATCAAAGGCTCCCATGAAAGCCTTGGCAAATGAAGCTGACCCTCCCGTTTGGCACATTGCCGAAGCTCGCAATTTAAACCAAAGGGTCTCAGCCAGAGGCAATTCCACCCCACCCTATCAGGTGCACATTTAACAGTGTCACAAATGGTATGAGTAGAGTTATCACTGGCATTTGGTAGAGGCCAGGGATGCTGCTAAACATCATATGGCATACAATCACCCAAAACAAAGAATTACACAGCCCAAAATTTCAATGATGCCAAGGATGAGAAACCCTGCTTTGGATCAAATTACAGCACTATCACAGTCTACCCGAGATCACTGGTTAATGCCATTGACAGATTCTAAGTTTGGGGAAGCAGTGTAACTAACATTTCATATTTCTTGCATATAGTATATGCTCAAAAATAAAAACTACATCTCTCTCTTCTCTAGGCTGAAAGACCTCCCTCAAAATACATCTTCACATTCCAGTAGGGTGAGGAACACTAGAGGCACAGGAATTAAATCATTAGTAAGGGGAAAAGGAATACTATTTATGGAACAAAAGGTATATATCAAGTACTGTGCTCCAGGATTTATATGTGTTACGTTTACACCTCAGGCAACCACAGAAGATATAAAATATTAGTTGTAGCTGCTAAAATGTACCAAATACTTACACACTAGGCAATTTGCCAACTGCTTCACACGCACAGTGTTATTTCATCCTTACAACTCTATAAGGTAGAACTATCATCATGCCTTTCTACACAAGAGGACAATGAAGCTCAGAGAAGTAACCTACTCAAAATAACACAAGAACAAATATAGGGGCCCACATAGGTAGGTTTAAGTCCAAACATTAAATGTTCTTCCATTTCAAAATAGTCATTTCTGACTGAATTTCCATAAACAGTGAAACACCTGTTTTGGAGGAAGAGCAGAGGTTGAGGTAGGAACTTCATAAGCAATTTGGAGAGAGGCTCCTCCCATATCCAGTATCCCCACAGTCCTTCGGCGTCCTATGGCTGATTCCTGGGAACTCTCAGCATCTGATTCTGAAATGATAAGGGAGTAAATGGGCCCTGGTAAGTAAAAACTACAGTCAAAAAGAAAAGACACCCCCCAAAAAAACCAGCAATCCCTTACAAATTTGAAAGCAAACTAAAACAAATTCATCTAAATCTACTGACTATATATTAGAGAATTATTTCAAGTGACTTAAACATGGTATTACGGCTATGTATTCATAGGAAGTTAAACTGTAAAGATAAAAAACCAAATATCTTAAATTGCATTCTAGTAGTATATTACTGGTTTTATTATTTTAAGATAATTAAACATACATGTTACTTTTTGTTGGTGCGAGGATTAAATCCAGAGCCTTATACATGCTAAGCAAACATTCTAACACTAAGCTACACCCCCAGCCCACATTATTATCTTTAGGAATAAACATAAGCATAAAAGAAAAGGATACAGGTATATAATCAAAGACATGAAATAAAACATCATAATCATAAAGATAAGATGGAAGTATCAGTATAAACTCAAGATTCACTTTTCTTTCCTAAAATATCATATTATCTAGCTCTGTCCACTGAAAAGCTTAGAAACTCAGGAACCAGGAGCAATAAGCATCCCTGGAGTCTAAATTAGTCTTTACAAATTATTTTCCATTAAAATAAACCAGGCTTTCTTTAAAAAAAAATGGCCAGTGCCAGGTCTAAGGTAGAAAGTTGGGGATGGAATACCTTGGTATGCCAGATAATAGAAGAAATAACAAAAAAGCACTGGAATCATGCTAAAAAGAATACAAGGGCCAACCTAAAAGTGCTCCTAAAGATTTGATGGCCAGGCCCGGGGATTTGGCTCAGTGGTTTTACCACCAGCCTCACAAGCACAAGGGCCTGAGTTCGATCCCCATACCAAAAAAATTAAAAACAAACAAACAAAAAAAAAGATTTGATGGCCACCCCCACCACAACCCCCACCCTATTCTGTGGATTTAATGAAACCAGAGCCTTCTACACAGTAGGCATAGGCTACACCCCATCCCCAGTGTGATGGGCCCTAAAGCATCAAATATATTAAAATTCCTAAGTTATGGAAGTTAAAAAAGATCACTGTTTCCTTTTAAAAGTACTAGGACACCAATTAATTATTCCAAAAATTAATAAGTAAAGGAAAATAATCAAGGATGTAGCCCATTTTTCCCATAAGAACTGTATTTCAAGAAAAACAAAATAGCTGATGAAGAAAAGTTCATTATACAAAATCCCAGCTGTCAAATACAGAAGAAATGGTGGGGCCAGGGATTTAGCCCAGTGGTTCTGCTGCCTGCTATGCAAGCACAAGGACCAAAGTTCGATCCTTGGTACGAAAAAAAAAGGAAAGAAAAAAATGCAGAAAAAATGGTGGGAGGAAAAAAATCACTACTTTGCAACCTCTAATGCAAACACATATCTAAGTCATGATCACATTTGGCTCTGACAAGCACTAGGTGAATGGTGGGTGAAGAGGTTTTATAACGGATTGAATCAGGCTGACAATACTTGAATCCTGACCTCATCGTCAATCTGAACATGACTAAAAGTGAGAAACTCCTGATGTGGTACAGCAGGGAACACAGAACATCAGCTGCAATTTATTCTTACACTTGATACTGAATCTGAGCCTAATAGGATATTGTCAAAGATCCCACAGAGATTCAGTACACCGGTGATGGCAACCTTTTCGAGACCCAGTGCCCAAACTGCAACCCAAAACCCACTTATGTATTGCAAAGCTGTAACACTGCAATTAAACGTGAATACTGAGGTTTTATTTTAGAAAAAACAACTTATCTGATGCTCAGCTGCTGGCTCCGTGTGCCCACTGCGGCACGTGTGCCTAGATTCACCACTTCTGGACCAATTCCAGAAGGTGGAAAATACATTCTGTTAAGCAACTCAGTTTTGTCTTTTAATTTTAATGAATGGTGTACAAAAAAGTACAAGGTAGGCAGTAAGATTGCTGTCAAAAATTAAGACTCTAAAGAAGTAAATCAATAAAACGCAACATGTGAGCCTAGTTCAGACTCTTGAGTTCAATAAACCAACTACAAATAAACATTGTTGAGAAAAATTAATAAAATCTATCTGGTTATGAGGTATTGCATTGCATAAAATCAGGAATTGTTAATTCTCTTAATTTTAGAATGGCACTTTGGATTTTTTTGTCATTGCTCCAAGTTCTAACTCCTTATCTGTTAGAGATATGTAGTGGCCTACAGGAAGATAAAATGAAACATCTGGTTTTTTTTTGAAAAAATAGGGGAAAATATGTTTTATGTGGAGGAAATATAGAAAAAAATGTCAAAACCTTGAGTTCTGAGTCTAGGTAACAGGTCCAGGAAAGTTCATTTTATTATTTATTCTACTTTTATAAAATTAAAAATAAATAAAAGAAAGTAAATAAGGACTGGAAAAGTAAGCAGCTTAATGGTGCGTGTGCCCGGATGTGCGCATGTGGGGCGGGGGGGTGAAGCAGCTTCAGTTTTAAGAAAGAAAAACAATTGGGTGTGGTAGTGCATGCCTGTAATCCCAGTAGTAAGGGAAGCTGAGGCAGGAGAATCACAAAGTCAAGTCCAACCTGGACAACTCAGCAAATTAACAAGATCCTATCTTAAAATTAAAAAAAAAAAAAAAAAAAA